ATCCTTTTTTTTTATCCTGACAGGCATCCTTTGAAGTCACAAGGGTATATTAGCATGCTGAACATACTTTAAAGCTAAACTTCATCAATCTTCAGTCAAGTTTTTTTTTCTTTGCTGTCTGTATGTCCTTTAGGGAAATGTACAAGGAGCCATACCTTCAATGCCAACAAGTAATCAGGTGCATGGCCTATGGCAATGCCACCACAAAGAACAGTGCAATGGACCTTTAATACGCCTAGGCCTAGGAAAAGTTATCTCTAGTCAAAGATCCAAAGTAAATACAGGTGAGACCAACGTTGTATGCCCATGCCCATCTCACTGCCGGCCGGAGCAAGGGATAGGGATTCTCTGCATTCAGGCAATTTCCTACTATTGTCCTTTGGGGAAATTACCTCTCACTTAATGTCCTGAACTCTGGGGAATGTGAAACCACAGTAAGCATTACAACCTGATTGATGTTTTAACACTTCTCCACTGCAAAAGAAAAGTTTTTATTGCTCTCTGTGTTTCTGTTGGCATAATTTCCTCTCACTTGAGGGTACATTTATAAAAAAAAGGTTTGCAGAGCCATTCGTTCAGCAAGACTGACATTTACATCCCTTCTGTGCGAATAGAGCAAAATCAAATGTTTTCTTGTGCAGAATGAATATAATTATCAGTAAATAGCAGCTTATGGCCGCTAGATGGAACTGAAGAGCATACTTATTCAGTAATACATATGCCCTATGCTTCTCAGCTGCATCCAATGGAATGGGCCCTATTTCCACAGAACAAATGTAAACGCACGGAACAATTTGCTCTGTGAACTTTTTATAAATACACCCTTAACAGTCCAGGTGAAATATGGATGTGCTTTAGTAAATAAAGTGTCCCACCTGTTGAGCTAAACCAGTTAAACACAAATTTTAACAAGAATTGTTCTCATCTGACACAAGAACATTCAGTGAAAAGTTAACTTCCCAAAACTGCTAACTTGCGAAAATCGTAGGACCGACTGAAGTTTTCCAACCTGCTGGTTAGTCAAAAGTCGAGTGATTGTACAGTATTTGCAGTTGTACACTGCCCATCAACCTTACGAATATCGGACGAAAACGCGATCGCATACGAAAATCGGCCAATATTCGTAAGGTGTATGGGCACCTTTAGATGTCTACATTTGAAATAGCAAAAACACAAATAACAGCAAAACCAAAATGTATAAGGTTCAATTAGATATATAAAACATCTTAGAATATGACACAGATGATACAAAGTACACACTTATCTTACAGTTCTTATCAATAAATTCATGAAGCAGATGTAGAATACAGATACATACTTGTGGCATCTATTGGGTCTGTTGTGCTGAACAGTAATGTCTCTACACTATGGCTGCATCTAATAACATGTCTAGCGGGCAATCACTGCAATGGACCTTGAACCCCTGAACTATGGGCTAAAGACATTGAGGGGAATTTATCAAAACTGGAGCAGTCAAAATCTGGAGCAGCTGTGTATGGCAACCAATCAGCTTCTCTCTTTCATTTTCAAATCTCTACTGAACAAACTGAAGAGAGAAACTGATTAGTTGCCATGGGCAAGTGCTCCAGATTTTGTCTGCTCCAGTTTAGATAAATTCCCCTCATATTGTTTAAATACAAAGAGAAATAACCCATACTTGGTGTTGCTATACAATGAGTGATCTCATTTGCACCCACTTGGGCAGATCACCTTATTGTCTCTTAAGGAGTGTTCGTTGTTTTCTCATAGGTGTGATCCATTGAATACTAAAGAGAATGTTTGAGATGTTTTCATCTAAGAGAATACCTGGCCTCTTCTGAACACTTTTCATTCTCCTGTTTCCTGCTCTGATTTGGGGGTTGTCTTTTTCTCTACCCCATTTCTTTTGGTCCCTCTCCGTCCGCGCCCATGATTGAGCGATGGTCAGTGGTTGATACCACCATCTCTATAGACTATTGTAAGTTCATGGAACTAAACAAATTGTATTAAATATCAAATGTTATTGCATAGGTAAACTATGACTTTTCTTTTTTAAAATACAATTTTCTTATAGAAAGATAGTAGCCTATTCCTGAAGAAGCGGATCTCTGTGAAACGCGTTGAAATTTGTTTTCCTCACACTGGACTACAATAAAACTAGGAAGCCGATATCCAGCAAACTGCAACAAGTATTGTAATATATATATAAAAATATGGGAGGATGCGGTTACATCCTATGGTTTTTTTTAGGCAGTCTTTGTTGTCTTTTTTTAAATACGTTTATAAATAAAAATTTGATATACTTTATATAAAAACAAAGTATGTTTGTGTGGTCCTTGGAGTACCTCAAAAGTCCGAACCCTCCTCCCTTTTTTCTATGATATAAATACAAGAGAAATGTATATTATTACTTAAATCTTTGGTTTCCTTGGCTTATTTCTTCCAGATTTCTGCAGAACTAAAAAAAAAACCCTCTGTTCAGGAGCTTCCTGTAATAAAGTATTTTCCCCTTTATTCTAGCTCTTGAGTAGGATGACTGCTCTTGTATCTTGTAGGGGCAGCCCTTAGTTTTTTTGCAGGCAGCCTTTAGTTGGTGAATCTACTGGGTCCCACCCACAGCTCTGCTCTCTGCCCAGACTACTTTACCAAACTGATAACTGGGTTTGCAAAAGGCATTTGGTTGAAACAAAATGGATTTATATAATTTGTTGCTACTGAGCAATATATTTCTGTAGCTATCCTGCCCCAAGAGTGTCCATTTAAAGTGATATTTAATGTCAAAAGGATTGTAAGTGCGTGGGCTAAAATATAAAGAAATAAAATAAATATTTTGCTGGACAATGTATATTTCATATGGACCTATTATTGATATAAGGTTTGAGCGTTTAATACTACTTCATATTTAGAAGCTGGTAGGCAGTAGTGAGTCTGAATCTAATAGTTCAACTTTCTGGAGTCTCTCCTTAGCTCTGAGGATTGTCTGCTCCTGCCGGCTACTGCAAAGTGTCCCTGGCAATAGGGTGGGAAGATGCACAAATCAGTTAAGGATGTTTGTACCTCCCTGACCAACCAACCACTAGGAAGTTTATGCCAGTGGTAGTGGCTGGGAAAAGGTATACATATTAGGAAGTCATTCTCTAGGCCCCTGTGCGGGGGCAGGATGCTGTTGCATTTGTGATTCTCTGCTGCCTGGGGAGGGTGACCATGTGCTTGGACTAAAGCCTGGTCAAGGCCTAGTATGTTGAGCCTGAGGATGACATACTATTGAGGATCTTCAGCAAGAATAAGGAACCTGAGAAGCTGGGCAAAAGATTGGTCCTTGACCGAAGTATGGTTATTTCTCCCCAGTAGTCAGTAGCAATATATCCAGTACCTTACAACCAGAACTTCTGTCCACAGAATGCTGGGTCGGTTTAAAGGTTCTCTGTCTGTCAAGGTTATAAGTACTGTATTGGCTCTCTATTCTGAGCTCTGTCCTTTGCCCTAACCCAAATTACTGAATACATTTTCTGCCAGCAAATGTTCAACAGTGTAGAAGTCTGTTAATCAGTTGCCACTTGTATGTAGGTAAGTGATTTGGGGCAGATATAGACCTGTGTACCAGGTTCCACAGCAGGTTGAGAAGCTTCAGAGAACATGCAAAACATAAAAAGAAAGAACGGCGCCTTCTCCCTCATGAAAAAACGTTTATTGTCCAATTGTGAAACTGAATAAAATAATACTTACAAACGGTGTCTTTAGCAAAGCATTTCTTAAATGTAACCGGATAACCTTATTCCAATAGCAGACGACTGAAATGTGCACCAGAATCTTAGCCTTGCTGATGCGTTTCCAGGAATAAACCCTCTTCATCAGAGCAAGGTCGACCGTACTTTCTTTTTATGTTTTGCACTTTTTTTTAAGAAAGACCAAGTCACTACTTAGACTCAAAACTTGGGTTAGAACCTTTCTCCACTTCTGGTGACAGAAAGGATCCACCCAGAAAGAGGTGCTGGAAATTCAAAAACAGACTCATAAAAGTAGAGCTATGCAGGAGGGATGTCTTAAAATGGACACTATAGGCCAGACTTTAAAGTTACAAAAGTACCACACTGTACTTAAATAAATAGTACATTTCTTATATGTATGTAATGATGCCCATCCATAAACACCACTACTCTTGGGTTAGAAAATCACCATATATCAGAGTTGTGGTGTAATCCAGGTTTGAAACTGTCCATACATTGTTCTCTCACACCCATAGATGGACACATACATCCGGGAGCTATATGTTTAGAATTACAGCATTAGCTATTAGTTATTAGCCAAAATCTAGTTGTTTGCTTATTATAAATTATGGATGACCACAGGAATAAGTGCACCTTTAACAGATATTATGCTTATTAATACAGCATCATAAATAAAGCAACTTTGCAAATATAATCATCAGCTTATTCCTTTCCCCTTCTGATCACTGAGAACTATTATTGTTAATATTCTGCCAGTTCATATTGGCTTCTGGGTTAAAGAAATCTCCAGAGGTCCTTAAACACAGGAAACAAGTTGCCTCGAGTACCACAAAATGTTTACACCATGGCAGTGCCCATTTTACAGCCAGAAGTAACCATACTTGAGAAATTCCAGGGATGCCCTCCTTGATCTGCAAGCCCCTTGCCTCCGCATCTCAGGATGCACTTGTGTATAAATTCTTACATAAATCCTCATCAGATCATATCACATGATTTTAAATAATACTCAATTAAAGGGACACTATCACCCAATTAAGAAAAAAAAGATGTTGCGATTCATTGCACTATAGTTGTTTTTTCATATCCAGTCATCTGTCATAAAGAGTTAGTTTATCCAAAACTTATATTTTACATATTGGGCTCCTGAATTTATTTACTTATCAGTGCCAAAACATATAAAATCAGTATTACATGTAAAATGAACAGTGAAACAAATGATGTAATTTATAGTGTCCCTTTAATATAAAATAATTACAAACAAAATAATATTGAATGTCCCAAGCTATTGTATAGCTATATAAGAGGTGTGAGCGCAGACTGACAATCCACATTCTTTTCACTGACTGTTACGTTGACTGTGCCACTGATATTCTTCGTGTTTTGATAAAGCTACAGGCAAAAAAAGAAGGTGAAAAAAATGTAAGGGAAGTAAAAGACTGGATAAGTAGTACATTTTACATTCTCAGTTTACTAGGCTGTGCCTACTGGTGTCTGCATCAAACTACTGGGACATAAACAAGCAAGATGCTGGTCCAAAAGAAGGTGCAAGGAGTATGGCAAGGACAGCATTACATTGGCACACATCTTTCATCATTGGAGGAGGTAAGTTTAACATGTTGTGCAAGTATGCTCTGCATGGGAAAACAGAAAGGACTTGGTCTAGTGTAAATGTAAAGACTGTCTGCTTTCGGCAGTTTGTGATCTTCAATAATTACATACATGCATTGCAGCATGGATGTAATAATTTAAGGAAACTATATAATACATAGCAAAGTTTCTTGGTATTCCTGGAATCAATTAAATAGTGCATTTGTTTTGAAAGCACAGTTATCTTTGCTCCTTCCATTGATGAAGGTCTTATTATTAAAATATGTATAGAGTTTCAACTTTATTCTAGTCCCGTGTATCTTTATACTGTTTAAATACCACTGGTTTATATTACTTACAAGCCAACTCTGATTATTCTGTGGTAGTGCAAGTCTGTGGAATACTTTGTGATTCAGAAATTCATAACATTACAAAAAGTGACACCAAACTCTTTCACAATCTATCCACCTTACAGTGCAGAGTCTGTGGGGCCAAACTGTGAGAAATTAACACGTCAACTATTCTACACCCTTCAGTAAAACCTTCATAATAAAAAAAAGAAAAAAAAGCAAAGGTGGCACCTACCTTCACCATCCACTGAAAATAACACTTCTCTGAAAATGTGACTTACCACAGATTCTGTATTTGAAATCTGATATCCCAAAAAGGAAACCAATTCAATAAATGATGGTCTTTTCCTGGGATCGGAAGCCCAGCAGGACTGCATCAGGAAATATCTGTAGGGAAATGTGTTAAAATTAAATTCTTTAAAAAAAACAAATGCTGAGAGTATGTGTACAAGGGCTCAGGGTGGTGAGCATCATTCACTCACATTTCATCAGTAGCATAATATGGCTGGTCCATCTTAAATCCACTTTGTAAGAGCTTGTAAAAGTTTGCATTGACTGGCATGCCTGGATATGGATTTACCCCTATCGAAGATGGAAAGATTATACTTAAATCTGGAACACAGGGATAGTAGAAGACAGAATTTTCTTTTATTAATACATGTCATACCAAGTGAGAATATCTCCCAAAGCATTATGCCATATGACCACACATCACTTTTAATGGTATAGATTCCATGAAATATGCTCTCCGGAGACATCCATTTAACTGGAAGGCGAGCCTGGTGGAAAAAAGAAAAAATATAACATAACCTAAGGTACACCGACCTGCTAAATATATTCAGATTGAAGCCCAACTCCAGCCAAACACTTCAATTCATTTTGGATAGAGCAGGGAAGAGTTAGAGCCTCAGTCTGGTTTTACTGCCATCTGTGTTCTTGTTGGGGAAATGTCTTTCATAAGTGAATAGCCGAACAGCATTCAGCTCACTTCACTTCGGCTGGGTTATTCACTCGGCTGCCTTTGGCAGCTTTGTGAATAACCCTCATAAAATATTTGCATTTTCAAAACAAATTGATTTTAAAAGGCCTTAGGGTAAGCCACACATGAGAAGATTTCTAACAAAGTTTGAAAGGTATTAAGAGATTACCTCACTTTGTTCTGGTTTTTGCATCACATGGGCTCCTACGGGTACTTTGCTGCACATAAGCAGTGCAAATATAGCTCCTTGGATTAATCACTGCACAATTACAGAGAGTTTCTAGTATCTTCAAATATCAGAACATATTTTGCCATCCAGAGTTAGTATGTTATAGGCAGATATCGGTGCTTCTCCTTAAGGCCTAAAGATGGCGCCAATGTTTATATACACACACGCACGCATACATGCACACACATCATTTCTACTATAATTGTGTTGTACGTATTTGCTTGAAGTGCAGCTTCATTTGTTCTACGCAAGGGAATTCCCAATGGGGAAAGAAGTTTGGCTGCTATGTAATTTACTCCTTTTCCCACTGTATCAGAGTGTGAGCAGGAAATTACTTTACAATTCCTGGTAAAGCAGCAGTGCAAATGATCTTATAAAAGTGTACAGCCCAAAGAGGCAGCACAGCCAATGTAATGACCAGAACAGCCTTTTGGTTCACATGATCCTGACAATCCACTTGCACTGCCACAATCTAATCACAAAAGAATGAAAAAAGATGACCATTCGACTTACATTGCCCTTAACCACATAATTTGAGTCATTTTCAACATCTCTGGCAAGTCCAAAGTCACATATCTTGGCCATCTTTCCACCAGTTATGAGTACATTTCTGGCTGCAAGGTCTCTGTGGATGCACTAGGAAAGAAACAGAATTATCAGTTGCCATTTATTATAATGTATAGCATGCATATAACAAAATCTAAAACTAATTTCTGGGTCTCAGATTGAGAAAGACTGAAAGAACAGCATGGTTCTGTAGGCTCTTGGAAAGCATCATGTGCTACTACTGAAACTTCCATTCCTCGTATCTAAATTTACAGTATCGGTATAGAAAGCCTCCCTGCAGGGGAATGAAGCAGAGACTTGTTTTTTTTCTAAATCAACAGGGCTGTGCACAATTAAACTCTACATTTAGATCCCTGCAAAGCAATGACATCACCCTGGTGTCTTCCATTTATTATTGTTTTAATTCAAATTGGTCCTTATTATTTCATGCAATGCCAGTGCAATTTATATGTCTTATGTACCAACATTTTAATACCAAATTACTTGTTGCTGACAGCTAGGGATGCACCGATACTTTTCGACTACCAATACCGATACTTGGGATTTTCATGAGACCTACCAGGGTTGCAGCAGATGCAGCTGTGACCTGGCTCTGGTGGTCCACCACTGTCCTGAAATCATTAGTTGATATATTGGTTTAGAAAAACTGTCACATGACAATAAACAGAAATGTATCAGTAGTACTCATACTTGTAAGTACTTGGACAAGTATCAGTACTTGTACTCACAAAACTGGTATCGGTGCATCCCTTTATTTATATTTATGAAAACAAAATCATACATTAAAACAGAGATGTACAAATCCCAGGAGCTCCGTGTGCTCCTTACAAATGACAGCTGCCTCCTAACTTTTGAATTTTTCTCTAGTCTAGTCTTGGAGCTCAAAAAGTATTTGTACTTGTACCGAGTACTGTATTTGGTATCGGTGCATCCCTACACAGCAATCAAATACCTTCTTCCAGGGGCATCCCTAGATGTCTCGCCACCTGAGGCCGGGGTGGGGGGAAGGCTGGTGCTCGTGATGCATGTTCCGAGAGGCTGTGTTAGTTAGTCTTGGTGCACGTTCCTTTGGGTGGCGGCAGCTCGTGGCGTACGTTCTGGGTTCCAGGGGGGAGCGTGAAGGGAGGCAGTTCATGCTGCACAGCGTTCCGTCCAACTCACTGATGTGGTTGCCAGGAGCTGACACCAGCCAGACTGTCCTACTCAGCTTGGGGCAACCAGTTACGTCAGTGGGGTGGGCGGGATGCTGCCCCGAGTGTCACAGGTTACTAAGAGCTTTTACGGATTGTTATTGGTTGTTATGGGCTTTCAGAAATTCCCCTTTTAACATTCTTTTCATATATATATATATATACAGGGCTTGAAAAATTTGGCGGTGTCTCACCAGTCAGTCAAAAATGTCACCAGTCAGCATGACCGGACTATAGCCTTGCAATATATGTTAAAAAAATGTTGGGGACAGATAGAGGTTTCTTTTGTGACCCCACGGGGGGGGTTATTTTTTTTTTACTATATAATGAAAAAAGTACCATAAATATATTTAAAAAAAAGTTTCCCTATGTTATAAAACATTTATTCTTACCCATATCTTTAGTAAAACATAAAATTCGGGGTCACGTCGGGTAAATAGACACCAAACATGTCAAGCTTTAAAACTGCGTGCGCAAAAAACGTTATATATGAAAAGAATGCTCCTGATGTGGAGCAAATAAAAGGGTTTATGTTCCAGCCAGTTTTCAACAGATTTCTTTGGACATGTCTACACTTAGCGGTTGCATCCACACCATATACTTTCAAGCAAATAAATCCACAGTTTAGCAGTTAGTGTATACAGATTGCTTGCCTCTAATTTTGGATACAGAGCATTGTGGTTTTGATTCCTGTTCACGGATAGTTAGTTCAAAATCAATGACTTGTAGAATCACAGGGTCAGACTTGGGTGTTCACAGAACACCAGTTCACCAATGATCAGGACATTTTAAACAACAGAGCAACCTATTGTAGTCAGGCATTGCTAATAAGAAACCTTGATCAGGTAGGCTGTGTATGTTACCAAAGTGGATCTGGCAGTTTGACTGGAGTATCCTTTTAATGTGCAATTACGTGCAGTGCCTGAGGCAGCAGCAATTCAAAATACAGCTGTGCTTATTTGTGCACATTGTTTATGGAAAGTAACTTGCAGCATCTGAACAGAGAAAGTTTATATGTAAATGAAGGCAGATGAACAGGGGAAAACCTAATTCTGAACATGAAAGGGCAACGTAATTTCTCCAAGCCATTTACATCTCCTGTCACCCCTCCTGTTTCTCTAGAATCGTTAATTACCCCACAGCAATCAGACTTGTCCATTTTTAGCTGTGCTATAAAAAACAAAGGATTGACTGTGTTGGTGACCGGGTCATAACAGTTCAAAGGTTTGCAAGTTCAAGAACAATCCCATCTATCAACAACAAACTCACCATCTTTGATTCAAGGAACTCCATCCCCTTTGCAACTTGATAGGAGAAGGAGAGCAGATCTTCCAGTGTGAGGATGTTCAGATCCTCATCTTCGTACTTCCTTGTGTTTTGGTACTTAATTTCTTTAAAAGAAAGACAAAACTTGTAACTACTTTTTTAAGCCATTGTAGTAAAGAAGAGCTTTTAAGAGCACTTTAATGTATGTGTCATGCAATGTTCTAATTTTATACTCTCATCACTGTTTGTCCTGGAGACAGTATGAGGGGAATTTATCAAAACTGGAGCAGACAAAATCTAGAGCAGATGTGCATGGCAACCAATCAGTGTCTCTCTTTCCTTTTCAAATCTTAACTGACCAAACTGAAGATAGAAGCTGATTGGTTGGCATGCACAGCTGTTCCAGATTTTGTCTGCTCCAGTTTCAATAAATTCCCCCCATGTGTATTATCATACACGGGTGGCCCCAGGTCTCACATGACAGATTACCATGTCAAGCAAAATGTAACCTTTCCTTAACAGGAGAGAGATTTGGTTAGACAAAGCAAAGTCACAGGCGGGCCAAAGGTCAAAGCCAAATGGGCAGGTACAGCACAAGCTGGTCACAGGGCATGCCAGGGGCAAATCCAGCATCTACGTCAAGCCGGGGTGTTGGAACCAAATCAAGGATAGGAATTATGAACAAGCCAGGGTAACAAAAAGTGGAGTACACTTAGAGACCATAAATGAAGGTAGGTCAACAATGAAGATCACAACTACAATAATAACACACCCATATAGCATTGTGAGAGCATTGGTGCACATTAGAATGCATGAACAGCACATATTCAAAAGGAGGAAGCATAGGACTGATGTGGAGCAAATGCATGGAGATTCATTGAAGCAAGTTCAAGACATAATCACAATTTCTAACAAAAGCAACAGTAAGTAAGCCTTTTACACTGTTTATATAGATGACGTTTCGATTGTAAGGGCTTTCGTGATTAAACCCCTGAAAGATTCTTTTATTGTATCTTTTTTGTAATAACTGGTGAATAAACACACATGCTATGGTCATATTGCCCAAAAGTGGCTGGGAAAATCCAACATGGACAATAGTTTTCTTTTATAATTTTACCTCCCAGAAATAGTCATTTAGGGGTGTCAAGGGCGGAGCAAGAGAAGGAATGCTACTGTACTCAAGAAAATAAACAATCACATAAAAACAGCTTAAATCATATCACCCGAGTGACTAAAGCACAGAATACTCCTGGACAAGATGGAGCAACTTGTGTTGTTCTGGTCTCTGCAGGAGGCCTATACAGGCTGCTAATATTTAATGTAAGTTTCTTTTTTTTCTTGATAATAAACTCAGAAGGTTGTTAAGCTATTTCAAATGCTGATGAAATCTTTTACAATGGATGCTGCTCCTTGATATTAAAATGTTTAGCTTCTTGCAGAATCAAGTCCCCCTGAGCACTGGCCCCTGATATCCTTCTTTCCCTCACAGGGCCCTATGGAGCCACCCTTGTGTGTGCTAGTAAGCTGTGTGTATTTCCACAAACACACAGAATGCATTGCATCGCATTGCAGCCAGCTCACAATGTTGTGGGGCAGGAGGGGGCGTGGTGGTCCATTGAAGTGAATGGCACCATAGCCATGCACTCCTGCCCGCAATGCGATCGGCCGCACAGGATCGCAAGGCACATTATGCCTGCGGTCCAGTCCAATAAAAATGCTGCAAGCACTACAGCTATGGTGCCATTCACTTCAATGGACCAACACGCCCCCTCCTGCCCCACAAAAAAGTGAGCCGGTCGCAATGCGAGGCAGTGCGTTCTGGCCAGAATCAGGCCAGAACGCACTGCATCTGGTGTGAACGAGGCCTAAGGCAAGACTCCTCCCTCCTCCTCCCCTTCCAAGTTAGCATAGGGACAACTGCTGCAGACTGTTCAGCCCCTTATGATCTTGTTCTGAACAGGAAGTTGGTGTGGAGCTGAGACAGTTGGAGCTGTTTAGAAACATGATGACTAAGTGCTTGGGCAAAAATTTAAAGAAATACTCTGCTGTGTAATGCATATTTGTTTGATCTGGAATCATTATTGAAAAAAGGTTTGAGAGTTTAATACTACTTTAAGATATATCCACTTTGTATTTGTGTTATTGCTTTTTGTTCTCTGCTGTATTTACAGAATGATAAAATTAACACCTTTTCATAGATATATCCACGTTTGTGTGACCATTATAAGTACACGACAAATCTCAGTATAGAAAGACCCCATTACCCATTAGTCCTGTTTACACATAATTGTTGCTCTGGACTGGAATGGTTAGTGGTTGTTTTTGACAATTCTTTTTAACCAACAGGTTTTTATATGCAGATCACAAATCACGTGAACAGATTTCTTTCACCTCTCCTTTCTTAAGTTTGTTTAATAATTTCCAATGAGTATATGCACTTGACAGACACTAAAGAAGCCGTTTAAAGGTGCCCATACACCTGCTGATTATCGTACGATAATCGCGGGAAATCCCGCGATCGTACGATAATCGGCAGGTGTATGGAAGGTGTGCGACCGTTTCCACTGCACGGTCGCACGTCTTTTGTCTTACGAGCATGTTTGAAAACCTGCAGAGAATCGTACGATTGTTGGCGGGTTTGTGGCATGCTCGTAAGACAAATGCCGCACGGGCCGGTGTGCGCAAGCGCACACTGCCCGTTCAGCATTGCAGTTATTGGAAGCCCGCCCCTCAGCGGGGCGGGCTTGTGATGATCGCAAGTACGATCTGCCTGTCCAAGATGGGCAGATCGTACGTTTTTTTAATTACCTTACAACCATCCCAAGACAAAAGTCTTGCGATGGTTATAAGGTGTATGGCCAGCTTTACAGCTGGGGGTATTTTTTCGTTTTTTTTAGCACAGTTTAGTGGTGTGCCTGCAGTCCATAACGTCATAATGCCTTCAAACATAGATACTAAGAATGGTTTATACCTTCACCTTGGTGGAGCTCAGTGTGCCCAGAAGACATGTCCCAGCTGTGCTGATTTTTGTCACATTCTTGTGCCGAATGTAGTCTACTGTAGGAACAGTTGCTTACTGATGTCACAACTCGGTCTCTATAATGTAATGAATATAATATGTCAGGGGAAATAAACACAAATATGCTATTTAAATTTAACTTCAGTGAAATGTGAGACTTTTAGGTTCACACCCACCTGTTTTTTTCAAATCTTACCTGAGCAAAGTGAAGAGATATGCTGATTGGTTGCTATGGGCAACTGCTCCAGATCTTTTCTGCTCCTGTTTTGAGAAATTCCCATCTATGTTCTGTGTTTTAGGGGCTGGGCTACAAAAAACACTGAGGCAATTTGATCAGCAGAACAGCCAGGCAAGTAGCATTTTCAGGAGTCAGCAATGGTAGCTTACATATTTCATTCAGAATAGATTTTCTTTAAAGTGGAACTGAACTAAAAAAAAAGTGAAGATTTGATATGTTATAGGGAACATCTAGAAATGTTAAGTGTTGTAATGTTGGGGAGCTCACAGAGCACTCGCACAGGGTTTTTCATAAACCAAAAGTCTTTATTCTTTTTCTTCAGACAACTAAGGACTCCAACATAAAATAGTTTGTCTTCAGCATATCATATATTGGTTTACCAGTTTTCTAGTTGTGCCACACCCTCACAGTGTCCCAATCCTTTAAAGTTTTTCATTGCTGCTCAAGCCTCAGGGCCATTGTCTGTTTCCTCCAGTGCCTCCAGCACACACCACCTGCCTCGGCCCTCGTATGCCTCCAGCACACACCACCTGCCTCAGCCCACGTATGCCTCCAGCAGACATCATATGCCTCAGCCCTCGTGTGCCTCCAGTACACACCACAAACCCTCCTCGGAGCTCTGGTCTGGGCTCTTAATGAGGCTGCTTTCAGCCACCTTATCACCAGCAACACCTGACCTCAGGACTGGAGATTTCATCCCACCCAGAACTCTAAGAAATCTCCAGACATCCAGATTCCAGCTACAATCCAGAAAAAAGGGAAGAAATTGAAAGGCCACCTTCTTCCCTGCAAAACTAATTGCATTCTGGAACCTCTTAGCCCCTCTGGCCGAGAGTGCTGGGTGACCGTGTTGCCAGCATACTCCATGGCATTGCCACACACTGCCATAGTGTGCATAGACAGTGCCCCTCTACCTTTTGTCTGGAATTTCTCCTGAAAAAAAGCAGTGCTGTCAAGGATACCGGCACAGGTGACCCCACACCTGCGCAGGTACCCACACAGGCAGACTAAACACTTATGACCACACCGGACAGGGCAGAATGTTTTATGTACAGTTTAATCAACAGCAAACTAAACAACACCCAAAAGCAAACATAAATAAGTAACATCAACCAGACTACTAGCAGGTAAAGGCAACAGGAGGACAAGCAGGTAATGGCAACAGGAGGAAATGCAGGTAATGGCAACAAGAGGACAAGCAGGTAATGGCAACAAGAGGAAAAGGCAGGTAATGGCAACAAGAGGTATCTAGGCCTGCAAATGGGTAACCGGGCTCGGGACACAAACAGGGTACAGGACTGGTAACAGGACTCTGGACGGAAAGCAGGATTCTCCGGAACTGGGGACTCAGGGTTCAAGTTACAGGAAACGATACTGAGCCATCATCCTGACTGCAGGGAGGGTTTAAATATCCTCCCAGGAAGCACCAGGTGATGGCTAAGTACTGGCAGCTGGGAAACACCCGCAGGTGAGCACTGGAGCTGCAGTCTCAGCTACTGCGCCACCTAGAGGCGCTCTGGATCCTAACAAGTGCACTTCCTGGTATGTAGGTAAGCCTTGGCATTCCTGGACCTACAACCTCATAGCTGTATATCTGCAGTGCCTGAGAAATCTCAGGCACTGCTGCCTCTGTTTTACAAGTTTTTGCTGCATTGAGTAGGTGGACAAACATTGACTTTCGGTATCGCCGTTTAGACATGTCATGAAGATGCAGCAGATATATAGCCTGGTCAAACCCAGATCTGTGCCAGTGAGTTGGAGGATGATATTGTGTACCTTCTCCCAAAACAGGTGGATGATTAGGCAGGTCCAGAAAATATGAAAAAAACAGTGCCCCGGCCAGCATAGAGGGGACGTAGAAGTAAAAACCTATGGAGTTTTTGCAGCATGTATCAACGGGAAAGTTTCTCTGATCATCCGACCAACTAATACCCATTGAGATTTTTTTTTCCATTAAGAGATAAAGCGTGGAACATAAGACTGGGAAGACTGGATAAGGATAGAATAGCTCTGAGAAAGCATATGATGTAGCATCCCCTGTTCTTTACAGAGGCAGTAAGATGGGGAGCAAGGGGAAGGAAATCCCCTCTGTTTTAAAATTTGAAAGAGAAAATGTTGAAGTTGTTGGGGTTGCCAAAAAGGAAGAGGAGGTTGGGTCAATTGTTCAAGTTCTAGAATAGATTTGGCGTCAGTAACCCTCCAGTAAGTGAGAAAACCTGAAAGAGTTGTTACATAATAGAGGAGCAAAAGATGACAAATCTTTTGCCCTCTGTCTGCCTTTTTTGGGGCACTGCTTCCAGAGTTCTGTTTCTCTATAAGGCAGTTTCCAGTAATGTAACACTTTCTGCATTCAGTGAAGGGAAGTGTAATTCATAATAATTTTTGCCCTTTGAGAAGCAAGTTGGCCTTCAAATTGTAAGGGTTTTATGTAATACAGTAAAGCATAATACTTTTGAAAAGCAGTTCAATTATATTTTGTGAGAAAGTACTTCTCCCTATTGTATTCCCTGTTGCCAATAAAAGTCGTTACTTGCTCATTTCAGGTTGTTTTTCTAGGGAATGAACTCCATTTATTCCTATATTCATAAAATAAACACTTGTGTTTGGCTAATGAGGCTTTGTATAAGAGGATAGTTTTAATCTTAGAGCTTTTAAAGGTCTGTGCTTGGAAACATATGTGGGCTAGTTCTAACAATTTGATTTGGAAATACGCTATTTTTTTGGTTTAATCTCTCCTTTTTAACGCATACCCAATGTCTGATAGGTATTCCATTCCTATTGACTTTGTGTGCCTCCCATACTACAAAGGGATTATTTTCCTGGGCACCGAAAAGATGAATGAATGTGAAGAGATCTCATCACTGCATGTTAGAATAATACGACATTGGAAGATATAACCCATGTTGCGGAACTTTATCATGGGACAAAATGAGAAAAAAAGGATACAAAGCCCTTAAGATTACAACTGGCTCAATGTAGCTTATGCTCTAAAAAGTATCTATCATACATAGTCATTTGTCTTTTCTTAAATCACTCTCTTGCAAGATGGCCACTGGTGTCTTAACTTTTAGCAGAGTCATTAATGGTCAGGATGTATTTTTTTAGGCATAATTAGACCTTCAATGTTAAATAGACAGTTTACATGCCTATTATACTGTCTGAATGATTTTGTGGCATTTTGTGGAGAAGAAATTTGGCATCTAGGCAAAAAAAATATAGGATGGCTGGGGGAAAATAGAGGGAGCATAGATGTATTGGAGTTTGACTTAAGATGGAAATTCCCAAGAAAGGATCAGTGAGATGCTGGCTATCTATTCTGCCAGAGCAGTAATCTACAACAACCAATCAGAATGAATCTTTTACTGACACTGAATACTAGAGGATGTGTGTTGGGACCTTTGTTCTACCTATTCCCTGTTAGTTCCTAGCTTGTGCCTCTCCTTCTATTCACCTGGTTCTAATCTAAAATATTGCTCAGGTATTTTGGGGTATCCACACCCAAGCATTTATATTTTGTGTGTGTATATATATATTGGATAATTTTTTCACAGCTAATACAAAGAAGGTCAAATTCCTAAAGCCTATATAGGAAATATTTGACGGTGATTGATCTGACGGTGTTGAGAAGTCAAGAAGGCTTTTTTCCTGTGTGCTGCCCCTTGCTTTTACTTGTATTAAAAAAGGAAGAGCTACTTTAAAATATAAAAGCAGCACATATAAACATACCTTAAAGCAAAAGCATTTACCTGAACTTCTCTTCCTGGTTAAAATTATGGTAAAATGTGAAATTGTTGCCCTTAATGACATCTGACCACGTCTTATGAAATGTCTCTCTTTTAGACTTCAAGTGGTTGAGAAGATCACCATAGGGGCAGTATTCAAAAATGAGATACACTGGACCTGGAATATTGATAGATACAAAGTCAAAAAGTCTTGTGCGCTGATATTAAAGCAAAATATATAACATGCAACCCATGTGAGTTATATAAACAATATAGATTTGGATGGCAGTATACAATACAGTATACAAGGTGGGTATAAATCATTGCAGAAATGAGTAGGTTACCTGATGTGGTACATGCTCCCAGCAAATTCACTACATTTTCATGATGTCCAATCTGAATCATCATTTTTAGTTCTGACATTAAAGCCTCTTTCTCTGAAGCATCAGGATTTTCTGCAATAAAAGATTGATAAATAGATTAATAAAAAAAAAAAAATTATAATGCTGCAAGGACATATCATACACCTCTGCCCCAATGATGGTTAACTACTTACTTCTAGAGAACATCAGAAATTAGCAACCTATAGTATTGTACATGTCTACCAGTTATAAAAGTAATGTAGCTGCATAACAAAAGGGAAGACTGCATACTCATAATGGTTCATTAATACATTTTAGTTGCAGCTGAGCTGGTGTTTACAAATGGGCCTTGGAACACTAAATACCCAAATTTTACATGTACACTGAGTGGCCAGATTATTATGACCACCCCATCAGTACTTCGTTGGGCCACGAGATAACTCCACGAGATGACTTCGTTGGGCCGCCTCGTGACTCCACGAGATGTTGAAAGGTGATGCGAGGAATCTGACACTGCACTGTTGCCCTTCTGTTGTCACTCTCCGTTCTGCCCTAACATTGACTAGTCGCTGACGGCCACAATTCGCACGTTCAGACCAAGATTTTCGTCTGACAGTCCAGTCTTTAAACACTTTATCAATGAGCCCCTCTTGAACTTTTAACGAATTCTGCTATTTTGCTGATGCTTGCTCCATGGCTCATGCCAACAATCATCCCACGTTCAAAGGCTGTTAAATCGCGTTGTTTACCCATATCTTCAGATAAAAATTACTTCTACTGTCGTGGTAAACAACCTGCTTCCCTATTTATAATGGTCTGGCCCTCTAGCAACTTCAGCGCGAAATTATAGCTAAATTATAGCTAATTTGCCTACAAACGTCAGGTGGTCATAATAAACTGGCCACTCAGTGTATATGGCTACATAGAAAATATGCTGGTTGCTAAACTTAAAGCAGAACTCCAAGGAACCCCGAACTGGAAGGTTTAAGTGCTCGTTTGGGTCTAGGTTAAAAAAAAAAAAGGGTGCAGGTTTGCCAGGAGGTAGCCCAACCTCCTTAAACGCACAGGGACACACCAGAAGCCCCACACTTCACAATGGTAGCTGAAGCCCCCAGTGTGCCTCTATACCAAAACCAACAAGTGAAACAAATGCACTCATCAATTTATAACTAGCTTTAAAAGAGAACTATGGGGCAAATGGGGCAAGTGTTCCCGTGACTCAAAGCTCAGTATATTGCGGGCTATTGCCGCTATACACCGAGAGCACAGCCGAGATGGATACCGACAATATGGTCAAAATCCACCCAGCTGCGTGAGTGACAGCTGGCTCTGTGTCACAATATCCGGAAATCCGTGTCGGATTTTCGCTTTGCTCCCTGTTTCTGGGCTGTCAGCCTATGGTGTCTCACAAGGCTGCAGCCAATCTGCTCTCCTTCTCCCCTATTTAGGACTTCCTCACTTGTTGCTCTTGGTGCGAGCAACAAGTCTTATGCCTTGTTCCGTACCCCTTGTGTCTCTGACTACCCCTGGGATCCTATTCCCTGCGCTTGCTATTGGATCCCTGTGCCTTTTGGCTTCCCTCTACCAGCTGGTATCCCTGTTTGGCGTTATCCCCTGCTTTGCTCCTTGCACCCCTACTATAGTATTTCAGTGGTTCCTTTAGTATATTGTTGCAGGCCTTAATTGCCTTCACCTGTGCGCCTCTCCAAACTGCCTTCATTGCCTTACTTCTACTGTGTTTTCCCTCTCCAGTCTTTGTCTGTTTGCTTCCTCCTATTTACTGCTTGTTGTACTTCTACTCTGTCACTTACCTTCCAGTGTATCTTCCTTTGCTTTGCTGTCACCCCTTTTATTTCTGTGCTCCTCTCTTACCTGGTGGCTGTGTTGGATTCATCCTTGTCTGCACACCCCTGTGTGCATACATCCCTTTTGTGCTTCTTTGTGTACTTTTCTCTCTGTTTTCCTGCTTCTTTGTATGCATGTGCCACGCACATCTCATTTACTTTTGTACGTTGCACCTTCCTGCTCCTAGGTGTGCCTCTAACCTGCTTACCCTTCCCTGGTGTCCTTGCTTATCTATTCTCTTCAGTATACTCTGCTGTTCTGCTGTGCGTTTGCACTTTTGCTTGAGACTTTCTCTCTCTCTCTCCCTCTTCCTGTCTTCCTCCTCCTTGGTTACAAGTTTCTTCCCTACCTGTTTGTATCCAGTTCCCCCGCTGCTTCAACTAGTCCCTTGCGTCTGTGTGGGTGCGCTAGAGGGCCGCAACCTGGAAGGTGTCCAGCAGCCAATCATCCTCACCACTAGAGGCTCTGTCGAATACCTGGCCCTTCTTAGATTCTGCGCCTCTAGTGCGTCCTCAGAACGCACAGACCATTCGTTCCTCTCTCCCTGTGACCTACATCCCCGATATCCCACCTCTTTGTGACTCCTACCAACTACGCAAACACAGGAGCTCACGTACCCTAGTGCCCTGGTCCCTAGACCGTGACACTCTGCCTATCTAGAGAGTACAAATCGTACTTTGTAAAGCTCTTCCCTGTGCACTTTGCTTAAAGTTAGTTACGAATTGATGAGTGCGTTTTTCATTTGTTTCATCTGTTAGAGAGAGTCACCCCATCTATTTGTCCTGTTATCATTATCACTGAAAGTGAAAGAAAATCGCAAATTTTGGATTGTCTTCATACTAAGAAAAGATGGGAAATCTTCCAAAAGGCACTGTAGTTTGGGTGGCCATGCTGACCACCAGGAATGTCCCTCGCTCCCTCGAGTTATTTCCTCTCACTTCGTGTTATGACTATATGACAGGAAGTAAAGAGATACTGTATCTTCCCAATGGGACACAGGTGGCACAAAAAAAGGTGGGAGGGGTTATAATCCTCCCTTAATCTATTAAAAATGTAAAAAAAACTTTTGTTTTGAGTTCTACTTCAGTGTACAAAATTTACCAATTTGTTTTTTTGCAGTAGAGTAGGGACTGGCCAGAGAGGGTTTACTGACACAGTTGACCAGCTTGAACATGTATTGCACTATACTGTATGTGGCCTAAGAATCCCTCTTTTTATGCATACATTTGCTAGACTAGCCCAATACTAATCCAATATGCAAAGAAAGATACAGTTACACAGTTTTTTCGATTTATAATCTGTGTGAACCTACCTTTCAGCATTTTGACAGCCACCTGCAGTGAGACCCCTGGTTTGCTGATTCCATATGCTGTAGCAGTGACCACTTTTCCAAATGCTCCAGAACCGATTGTTTTGCCTAAAGTTTATAGAGTAAAAAAATAAAGTCTGTGAGTTCTGTGAGCAATATAACTGCATTGCTAGCTTAATATATATCTTCATATTAAAGATTATATATCAATCATATATACATACATATAAAATGAGTGCAGCTGTGGGTGGGAGAGGGACTCGTAGTTAGGAACGGATTATAAATGTGATGATATCACTGCACTTGTAGTCCATTAACACTTTCAAGGCACCCCAGACAGGGGCTGGGAGGATGAGTCTGCAGAAGCCAGAGAATTGCACCCATGACCACTGATCACAGTTACAATGCTTTGCAGGTTGTAAAGCAGTCCAAGGCTCCAAATCAACACTTTATTTTGATTGTTCATGTGTGTTCATTTATTACTTTTTTGCAAAAGGTAGACTTTGCAAGTTATCATCTTGGATTGTAAAACAGCCAGAATGGAATTCACAGAGCAACAGCCTTGCTTACTGTAGAGCAATCTTTCTCAACCAGGGTGCCTTTCACCTTTTTCAGGGGTGCCTTGAAATTTTTGCACAACGTGATACCTTTTCCCGGTGAAGGTAGTCGCCTGGTGTAAAGGGGGTTCCTGATTTGAAGAGGGGACTCTGATAAGAAAGAGGGGGTCTAATGTAAAGGAGGGGGCTCTTGATATGAAGAAGCCTTCTGATGTGAAGGGGGGACCCTGATGTGAAAGGAGGGGGCTCTGACGTGAAGGGTGGACTCTGATGTGAAAGGAGGGGGCTCTGACGTGAAGGGGGAACTCTGATGTGAATGATGTTAAGGGGGACTACCAGTTTGAGAGGAAAACTCTGATGTGAAAGAAGGGGGCTCCTAATATTAAGAGGGACTCCTGATATAAAGAGGACTCTGATGTGAAAGGGGGGTCTCTGATGTAAAGAAGGCCTACACATTTTAAGGGAGGATATGAAGTGGGGAGGGGGTGTTTTAAAATCCATACCAGACCCCTATCTGGGATAAGTGTCTGGTGTAGATTTTAGTAGGGCACACATAATTTTTTTTACATTTTAGAATGATGTGCCTTGATATTATGCATACTTTTAAAGGATGCTGTGTCTGAAAAAAGGTTAGGAAATGCTGCTATAGAGCTGAAAATAGCAAATGATCACAAATTAAGTTGTGTAGTGCCCAAATATGGAAAGCTGAGAGTAAACTGCTGAGCTTTTGCTTATAACACTATAAGAACGAGACTCAAAAGTGTGTTGTGAGGAGTCTCTTTGATGGGAGAAATGCCATCCTGCCCATCAAAACTCAACAGGCTGCACTGATGTCTGCGGGATTGGCCCTGACTGACGGAACCTGAGAGTGCAACACGAGATACTGCTATTTACAGTAACCCGTCATCTGTTACCAGTTAAGCAAATGTTATTTTTCATTCTTTTTCATTCACATGCACGGCAAAGCAACAGGTTCACTTTAATGCTGGCCCCCACAGATGCATATACTTTCATTCCCTTCACACCCCTGTGGGTGCAAAGAGATGAAGCCCTGTGTAGCACAGCACTCCATCAGGATCCAACACTATAGTACTTCACATTAGTAAATGACAAACTGACTGATTGTTGTAGATTACTGTTCTGTAGAGTAGAGAGCTAGCATCTCACCGATTTCCAGATTTTCTCTTGGAAACTCCCACTTTAAGTCATACTCTAATACACTGAAATCAATGTAGATGTATTCATTGTCTGAAGGACCAACATACTGGATCATTAGGAGTTGGCTTTCATACTTGTATTGCTTTTAAGAAAAGAAAACAAAACAAAAATGCATTAGATCAAATAATAGCAGAAAGTACAAATGTTTTTTTTTAAATAATGAAAAATAAAGTATTACCTTCTTGTACTTGCATAGCACCACGATGAATACAATGGCTACAATAGATAAACAGAGCCCACAGGTTCCAGTTGCAATTGAAAAAACGAAATTATTCTTTTCTAGAAAATCATGAAAGAAAAACATACCATATAAGTGAATGTAATAATACTGAGATCATACAAAGAAAGCTAAAAGATGTGTATGGTAATGCAAAAAGCTTGCTCTGATCAACTGGTGGCAATCAAGAAAAAAAAAAAAACAGACATGGAGGGTGACAGCCATGAGATATTTATTGCAGTTATCACCAAGAGGTATCTGAGTTTAGGAAACTCACAGGCAGGTTTACATACACTTAGCATACTGGCATACACTTCAAAATATGGGAGCCTAGCAGCTTGAAGCCTGTAATGTATCTCATGAAGGCAAGTTCAGCTCACTGCAGCTTGCGACACTTTCCTTATTCCCACAGTCTGCCTTCATTAGAAACGCCTGACCCTTGCAGCAATCTGCCATTGCCCTAGCTGTCTCTTTAAATGACCTTTCTGCTACACCAGGGGTCAGCAACCTTAAACACTCAAAGAGCCATTTGGACCCATTTCCCATAGAAAAGAAAACACCGGGAGCCACAAAACCCTTTTGACATCTAAAATGAAGATAGCACTGCATATATAGTCTTTTAACTTTATGCTATGTATAGCATGTATATAGGTATATGTGGGCTTAGGAACGCACTGGACTCAGGGCTTAGGAACGCTCTGGACTCAGGGCTTACCTGAGACCCTGCAGAGCCCACCTGAGAGTGACCCTGCAGAGCATACCATAGATCCTGCACAGCCCATCTAAGACTCTCTATGGTGGGCTCTGCAGGGCCTCAGGTGGGCTTGTTGCCGGGGCTCCATTTCCTTGTACCTCCTCCCAACTCCTTTTACCTGCTGCTGCTGATACTCATATAAGAGGCCCCCCAGGCTGCACAGACCCCTCACATGGGTACCGGCCATACCCCCCTGATGGCGGTGTTCTATCAAAGTTTGTGACTACGTTGCAATGTGTGACCGGTGACGTGGTCCCACATTTCAATGTAATCCCGCCCAGTTTATTGGCGGTGGAATGTGTGACCGCCAATAGATCAAGCATTCCACCGCTTTCTCAGCTGTTCCAGGGCAGACAGGCATCGCAAATCGTATGTGCAGGAGAACTGATCTGCCCTGGAACAGCCATTCGGTCGTGAAATGTCACTTCTATCTGACTCTATGAGTGCAATCTCACTTTCCACCCCACTCACAAAGTGGGGTGCCACAGCAGAGGGATGAAAGAGCCACTGAGCCACAGGTTGCTGACCCCTGCGCTACACCATACTAGATGACATCACTCAGTCAAAGCACTGGGTTATTTTCCAGAGCCAACACATGCCACCATACCCAGACATGGGAAGGCACCCCAAATAATATTTTTATTAAGGTCCCTGGATGCTCTCCCTTTCCTCAGTACTGTGATGTTATCTGGTGCTATATAAGTCAAAATAGCCTAATCATAGTAATTAATATGAAGATGATACCAATTCAGCTCTGAAGCATCTCAAAATATGTATTGTATAGCAGAATTTCTAAATTACAATATGCAACACTTTCACTATTGTCATGAATAGTGACATTTTCTTTACATTTAGACAATACAGACATTGAACGGAAACTAGCTGCACTTTATCATTGAGGTCTGAGTCCTGGGTTAAAGTCTATGAAATGTATTTTTCAGTGTGCTTGGTACAAGTCTCACTGTATACAGTTTTCTTAAAGTGTATGAATATCCAAAACATATTTGTAAGCTTTGGGTAGGGTTGTGAATGAACCCCTATCAAGATTTTATTGCTGAGTCAGTGGTGCTCCAGGTGAGCAAGAGGGAGCAGAGATTTAAAAAAAAAAGAGGAATAAAAAGCTACAAAAGGAGATCCTTCTAAATTTCCGGTGAACAACAGTAAAAGGTTTCAGGCCCCAAAATGGAACCAATGTGTTCAGCAGATGCACCCATTAAATAAAAAGGTTTTTAAATTAAATTCTAAAGGAAGGTCAATATTTATTGATCATAAGAACAGGTTAAAAACATCAATGTGTTTCGTGGCTCTGTGGTGGTCAGAAAAAGGTGTACAGTTCACTGGATGAAATACATAAAAATATGAATAAATGAAAGATATCTCAAAAATATCACAAAAAAAGTGGTAAGGTGACCCTTTGGTTATAGTGGATATGGATAAAATAAAATAAAAAAAATCTAAACATTTAAAAAAATATATTTATATTGGTTGTTGTAGTAAGCGGTGTGTTACTTTAAATGTTATTCTTAATTTTAATGTTGTTTTAGTGATAGTGTCTGTGTATGGTGTGACCCATTTAAAAGATGTTGTAAGCATTAAGGATAGAATTAAAAACAGAGCACTTTCCTATTCTTAATAAAAATACAACATTTGGAGGAGTACTTTCAACTCCACTGCAGGAGGATTATGCTGGGGGCCTCAGTATGTAAGAGATGAGTGTATCATATATATACTGTGTAGGGCTGGTAATGATTAAAAATTTCCTGTTCGATTAATCGAAAACATTTTTAATCGATTAATTTCAATTAATTATAACGCACATACACATCCAACTACATTGCCCTATACACATACAGCACAGCAATAAAGTAATAAAATGAACTAGGATCACACTAATCCAGCACGTTATTAATCTCACGTGCCCCACTCAATATGGACGCCGCTTGAGTGGGGCAACTCAGAATAATAACGTGCTGGATTAGTGTGATCCTAGTTTATTTTATTACTTCATTGCTGTGCTGTATGTGTATAGGCCAATGCCAGGGATCCCAACCTGAAATAAGCAATTTCAGGGAGGTGTCCCTCTCATTTCAGGGGGGTGCCCTCTCCCCCCCATCCGGGGAGGGGGGGGGGGTTAGGGGGGGCTGGGAGAGAGCACCCCCCTGAAATGATGGCAGATAGCACAGGAAGCAATAGCTTCTTTGCTAGCTGCAGACTTTTTTTTTTT